AGTGAAAAGTTCGTTGTTAATAAAAAACAGGTGTTTTTAACGAAAGCATAGTGCGGGCAGTAGAGTATCTGGGAAGTTATCCAAAAACGCGAATTTTACAACTGTGACGAAAAAATGAATGGGCTACGGGGTTTGGAGGGATGTTTGGCTGTAAGCCAGACATCACTCCAAATACTGGATTAGGAAAAAAATTCCAACTTGGAATTTCCAAGTTTTTTTTATTTCACATGTCAAGAAAACTTGGAAATTCCAAGTTTTTTTTTCCCTGAGCTTTTCTTCAACAATAGCAAGAACAAAATGATAAAAAACGCGTTAATACTTTAATATAATAAGTTATCAATATCATTTGGCAATTTTTTTCGTGCATTTCATCCAAATCTTAAAATGCTGATACTGATATCATTACGCCATGCATCTCAAAATACAAAAACAAATGCAAATTTACCGCTATCAACACTTTAATAACAATATACGATTCATTTACCATGCAAATTTCGAAATTTTCATTTTGACTCTCATAATTAATATTCAATAATTATACTAGCATTAAATAAATGTATCTATCCGAAAAATTCAAATAGGAAATAAAAAAAAAGATATCTTTCCTAAATTAAAAAAAAAAAAAATCCATATATAACTTTCTCTCACGATATTTTTTTTATTTATTTATTTTTATAATATGCTTTTAAACTCAGGAAAAAGGTATAATATTAGCTTAATATTTAGATAATCTAAGAATGTATCACAATTAATTCAAAAAGTTTTAATAAACCATTCAAAAAAAAAAAAGTTCGGTGCTTTTTTTATTCCTACCGAATGTTTTTTGATTCATTAAAGCTTCTTATAAACCATTCAGATATAATAATTGATCATGTTAAAAAGAAAAAAGTAAAAAAAAAATTTATTAAAATAGATCATGTTAAAAAAAAAAAATATTTATTAAATTTAAAATATTTCATTTTCATCATCAGAAACAATAACGCCATTTTGCATTTTTTGGAATCTCTTAAATTAAAAGTGATTTGAAAAGGACAATCCTGATCTTTGCATTGAATTTTATAATAATTTCCAGAATTTAGAATATTAAACTTTATTGATTTTGTACGTGCTAAATTTATGCAATATTGAATCATTTCGTCCCTATTTTCAAAAAAATTGACGAGTTCTATTTTCGATGTTTCCATCAAGATTAGAAATGGAAAAACTAAACGAATTTGTATAATATTTGAATGGTTTATCACAACTTTTTGAATGAATTGTTAGAACTTTTTGAAAATTTTTTAAAAAAACATTCGGTAGGATAAAGAATTAGTTCATACTTCATATTAATTATACTAGCATAAAATAATTTTCCATATTAATGTAATTATGTATATTGATTATGCTAGTATAATTACTGAAAATATTAATTATGAGAGTCAAAATGAAAATTTCGAAATTTGCATGGTAAATGAATCGTATATTGTTATTAAAGTGTTGATAGCGGTAAATTTGCATTTGTTTTTGTATTTTGAGATGCATGGCGTAATGATATCAGTATCAGCATTTTAAGATTTGGATGAAATGCACGAAAAAAATTGCCAAATGATATTGATAACTTATTATATTAAAGTATTAACGCGTTTTTTATCATTTTGTTCTTGCTATTGTTGAAGAAAAGCTCAGGGAAAAAAAAACTTGGAATTTCCAAGTTTTCTTGACATGTGAAATAAAAAAAACTTGGAAATTCCAAGTTGGAATTTTTTTCCGCATCCCCAAATACTATTGATGAAAAAACATATGAGAAATTGTCAATTTTGATGTATTTAATCCTGAACATATGAAAAATATATTTAAACACTTTTTTCTAGCATTATATTTAATCCTAAAAAAAAAAAAAAAAAAACATTGATGGCCAAGAGCATATGAAAATTAAAAAAAAATGAAAATTTCCCTTCATATTAAATCAAAAAAAAAAGATCGTCAAAGCATGATAATATAATAACATGATTGGTGTAACTCAAAATATTCATATATTAAACATTGAATTTATTATTCTTGTGCATAATGGTACATTGTTCATCTCCAAGCTTCGACTATTTAGTTCTGATTTACCAAATTTGGAATAATTATTCATATTCTTTCATGAGGATCATTGAGAGAAGTCAATTGTTTTTAAATATCCTCTAATTTGGTAAATTTATCAAAAATCTTGATCTAAAAAGTAATATGACAGATTCTTCAATCATTAATAACTTTAATAAAAATCAAAGAATGAATAAAAATAATTATTTTTTTTTTTTTAAGTTAAAATAAAATTTAAATGAATTTCTGCATTTGATAAGAGAGAACTTCATGTAAAGTTGGCACTTTTGGTGGAGTATGAAGCACATTAAACCCAGGACTATTAAATTGATTATGATTGCTAGTCGAGTTATTTGTTGGTACCACCAATAGGACTCTTGTAATGCAAGCAGAGTCGTCACGCTGTGTGTATTCATTAGGCGCCACTGGACCTGTCAATTCTGGCACAGCTGCATTTTCGACTAGTGAGATGACCAACAAATATGGAGGCAACTTTGAATTTTTGTAAATATTTTCACGTGCAATGCAATAACCCAAAGAAACCCGAAAACTATCAGACATGTAGATTCCGTCACCGAACCAAGGACCACCATGCAATTGGTAATCAGTTCTGCCCAAGTCCTTCAAGCCTGTATGCATTATACGATACCAGCGATCAGCATGCGAGCCATGCCAGAGCCATTTTACACCGAAATCTTTTCTTTTATCACGAAAGACAAGTTCAGATTCAGGCGAAACAGAAGTTACTAAGAATTGTGGACAATTTATGTCCAAGCTAGTTTTAACTTTGTCAGGCAAAGTGATGAATTGCGCTTTATTTGCAAGAATGAAGAAACGAAGAATTTCATAATAATTATCACCAATAAGTTCCTTTAAGTCACGATCAGTATTACATTTGTTACAGAGAGCTTGCATCGACGGAAGTCTTTGAAAGAATTTCATGTTAAGCTTCAATCCTTGCGATTCTGGAGAAGGATCAAAAACAGGTGGACTTGGAGGCGCCGCATAAGCAGCACCTGCAAGAGCGATGATTAAATCTGTCGCTAATGGATCCCTTTTAATTTCACCAATAATATTCGAGCCTACACCGAGGCACATAAACGCATATTGACAATTTTTTTCATCACAACAAGCCGGCTTCAAATGATAAACGCCCAATTTTTTGCCACAAACACAACAACAGTCACCCATGTCAAAAAATGCTTCACAAAGCTCAAGAATCAAATAGAAAAGTGGACAATCGGCATATTTGACAGGAATCGGAAAGTTGGCCTGAGGAAGAAGACCTGAAATAAGAAAATCACGAGCTTTTTCAATGTCGTAAGAACAGAAAAGAAGAGCTCTTTTTGCCTTTTTTAGTGGGAAGCCTTCATTCACAAGCATGTCAATAGTGGAGTTAATCTTGTCTTGATCAACTGTAACTTGTGGCGCTAAAACATAATTTTGACATCTATAATTGGTCGACGGTTTATAATTATCACTGAAAAAGTTTCGGAATCTGTTTTTCATTAGAACTGATCCAGGAAAGGTTTCGCCTTCGTACGTTGGATTGACAAATGAATAGATATTTGGCCTGGTTCGATATGGATTTTGTTTAGCGAATTCAAATTTGCATTCAAGTAAATATGGTGATTGATAGAAGCCATTAACAACACTAACTGACAACGGGAGAATTGTGGTTGGGATTCTAAATTTAATGGAATCTAAATAGGGATCTTCAAACTCAAAATCATTGTGTTCGAAATGCGCTCTACAAAATGTAACATCACTTCGCAGTTTAGACATGAGAACACTTCCTTCTTCTATTACTTGAGACATGCTAACGGTAAAAGATGGCTTGGAATCCTCTTCAACTTCAAAAGGTGCTTCTTCTTCATTAAAATTAGCTTCTTCTTCATTAAAATTAGCTTCTTCTTCTTCCTCTTCATAAAAAACTTGTTGTTCATCTGGATTTTGCTCAATTTCATCTTGTCTTGACATCAGAAAATTAAATTTTGTGAAATTGTGAATATTTAAAAAATATTAATATCTTATTATATTGAATAATAAAATTAAATTTTATATAAATTATAATTTATATAAATACATTAATATTATTTAAATAAATTATAAACAAATTTAATGAAAAAAACAAAATATTTCGTTTTTTTATTAAAACATTGAATACAGTATTGACTTCAAAAAATAGTTTTTGAGGATTAAATAGCAATGCTAGAAAAAAGTGTTTAAATTAATTAATTATTTCATGTTATTTTCAATAAAAACAAATATTCAGATTTTAATAGCTTTCTTTTGTGGATATAAATAATATTATTATTTAAAATTATTTTATAAAAATAATAAAATTATATTTTGGAAAATCTTATATCTACACAGGTTATAAATAAAGATATTATAAATTATATAAATACTTTTGTAAATCATTGAAAATAAATTTTGACAAAATTTTATCTAATCAAATGAAAATTAAGACTTCTTAAAAAATATTGTTCCTATTCGTCATTTTTTGTGTTTCTGCTCAAGATACGCAATGATCATAAAATTTATATGTTTTAATGATATAATTTAAGAAATTTATTTAAATTGGAACGATATTTAAAGTAAATTATTAAAATTTAATTCTTTTTGAAAGTAATTGGAATGCATTTAAACAAAACTTTAAATAATTTCATCACTGAATAATTTCCTCTTGAATCTCTTTTGATTTCAATAATATCAAAATAATAAAAATATATATAAATAAAGTTCTCAAATATTGAAAGCATATTGGTAAATGAAATGAAGTATTGAATTATCGCAAACTCATTGAGATTGTGTAAAATACGGGTATTTTCCAATTATATCTCATATTATTGATGGAGATAAATCATTTTATTGTAATTGCTTAGATTTATAAGATTAGTGGTGTTAAAGATAACAAAATCATTTTTTTGTAATGGCTTTTAGTATAATGGTTAGAATGCGTCATTGTCATTGACGAGATAGCGGTTCGATTCCCCTAAAGCCAGTTTTTTTTTTTTTATCCTCTAACATTAGAATAATTCGAATGTTGCAAGATTTTATCACCCCCTTTAATTTGGTTCAAGCATTCCTTACCATCGACAATGGAAGCTATCGAAAATATGAAGTGAAAATAGTATTTGAATTATAAAAATTTTTAAAATTTTAATTCAATTACAAAATTTTCATCACATAACTTTCTTAATGAAAATATTACATAGATTTTTTCATGTTTTAAAAGTTAATTTATATGAGACTGTTATGATTATAGAGCGCTAAATGTAATTCAGAAGACTAAGGCTCATTTCCCCAATTTTTTGATAAATTGAGATTAAAAAATATCACTGATTTTCTCCGATTTCATCTATGGAAGGCAGGAATAGATTAATATTAAAAGAAATCATAAATAAAAATTATTCAAAGAGTTCAATTTTATTAGTTGAATAGAAATAAAATATATAAAATTTTGCTATTGCAATTACCAGATTAATGAAATGTAAATTGGAAATTATGAATATTTATCTTTTACATAAAAATATGTTTATGTGTCAAATCAAATAAACCCTCTTACCATTTTTTTTTTTTTTTTTTAAAGTTCTTTTATAAAACTTGAGTTTGATCTGAAACGCAAGTTCTGAGCTCGATTATAATTTCCACAGATCAAAGGTTTTTAAAAAGATAATTACACTGAATATTTCCAAAACAATACTTGGGCTCCTTTGATTCATCATCTTTGACAACTTTTCAATTTCCATGTAATTGTAAACTCCAAATGCATTTCGATATTCCTCACTCCAATCCATTACAATTCCCTCACAAGTTGTTAAAAAATCAGTGCAAATATTTTACTAGTTGAAAAAGCTGATTTTTTTGAATAGTTGGTTTTACGGTTAATTCAAATTATTTTTTTAAGAGTTTTTTTATCGTTTTATTTTATGGCATCAAAGAAAAAATGGCGCTCTTTCTCAAAAAACATTTTTTTACTTTTAAAACAACAAAATAATAATAATATATAAACATTTAATATAATAAAATAATAATTTTATCATATAATTAAAGCAATTCAAAGAATTTATATTTTTTATTTAACGTATGACGATTAAGAACAATTCAAAATGCAAAATAAAAGTAAATGATTTTATTTTCTCATAAATAATTTCTCTTTAAGCAATATAACAAATATATATTTTTGTTTAATTATTTACTATTGGAAAATTTTTATTTTCTCAATATCTGGAAAAATAAAAAATTAATATTTTTTTTGAATTTCAATAAACTTATTAAATCCTTGATTTTTAATATCAACCGACAAGATATGATTAAAATAAAGCACCAAAAAAAGAATGACACTAAGATGGAGAAAGAAAATTATCTCTTTTCAATTTTTTCAATGGAAAATTTTTGTATTAATTCAAATATTGAATTTACCATTCAAAACTTTATACGTTTTCTTTCAAAAGTTAAATGATTATTTCAAAAACAAAACAAAACAACTGAAATAATATCATTTTTTAATTTAACACTCTACTTGTTAAATGGTTAACTTTACAGTTGAACAACTCCGTAAAGCGATGAACAAAAGGAACAACATCCGCAATATGTCAGTTATTGCGCACGTTGATCACGGCAAATCAACGTTGACTGATTCGTTGATCTCCAAAGCTGGAATAATCTCAAATGACGAAGCTGGAGAGAAAAGATTTATGGATGATCGAGAAGATGAGCAAGCACGATGCATCACGATCAAATCGACGGGTGTCTCGTTGTATTACTCATTTCCAGATGATTCATTACCTAAGGATTCGGAAGGAAATAATTTCCTCATCAATTTGATTGACTCACCGGGACACATCGACTTCTCTGCTGAAGTAACAGCTGCATTGCGTGTCACAGATGGCGCCTTGGTTGTCGTTGACTGCGTCGAAGGCGTTTGTGTTCAAACAGAAACAGTTCTTCGTCAAGCATTGGCTGAAAGAATCAAGCCTGTTGTCATTTTAAACAAGATAGATCGTTGTCTGTATGAAGTCAACAAAGATCCTGAAGAAATATACCAAACGTTTGCAAAAACAATTGATAACGTGAATGTTATAATATCAACATACACAACAGAAGATGGTCCAATGGGACCTTTGCTTGTATCACCACAACATGGAACAATATGCTTTGGTTCTGGTTTATATGGATTTGGATTCACATTAACAAAATTTGCAAAAATTTATTCACTCAAGTTTGGCGTTCAAATAGACAAGCTGATGCCAAACTTATGGGGAGAAAAATACTTTGACTCAACTACTAAAAAGTTCATAAACAAGTCGGTTAATTCAAAAGGGCAACAATTAGAAAGAACATTTTGTCAGTTCGTTCTAAAACCAATTGTTACACTAACAAGGAAAATCATGGAGAAGAAGAAGGACGAATACATTGAGATGCTCAACAAACTCGGACTCAAGCTTAAAGAGAATGAAGAACAACTAGAAGATAAAGCTTTAGTTAATTCAATTTTGAAACGATGGCTGCCAATGGCAGATGCATTATTAGAAATGATTGTTCTTCATCTTCCTTCACCAGTTGAAGCTCAAAAATATAGAATGGAGACTCTCTACACAGGACCAACTGACGACGAATGCGCAACTGCAATCAAGAACTGCGATCCAAATGGTCCTTTAATGCTTTATGTTTCTAAAATGATTCCATCTCAAGATAAAGGCCGATTTTATGCTTTTGGACGCGTTTTCTCAGGAACAGTTTCATCAGGACAAAATGTTCGAATAATGGGATTGAACTATCAACCAGGAACGAAAGAAGACTTGCATGTAACCAAGATTCAACAGACAGTTATCATGATGGGAAGAAAAGTAGAACCAATATCCGATTGTCCTTGTGGAAACACAATCTCACTCGTTGGAATTGACAAGTATCTATTGAAATCAGGAACAATTTCAACATCAGACAAAGCATATCCAATCAAAGCGATGAAATTCTCCGTGGCACCTGTTGTTCGAGTGGCTGTTCAGCCCAAAAACCAAACAGATTTGGATAAGTTGGTCGAAGGTTTAGATCGTCTTGCAAAATCAGATCCTTGCGTTGTTGTATCACATGAAGAAACAGGCGAACACGTCATCGCTGGTGCTGGCGAACTTCACCTTGAAATCTGTCTCAATGATCTTGAGAAAGATTACGCAAATTGCCAAATAATAAAATCAGCACCAGTTGTTTCATTTAGAGAAACAGTTCAAGAATTGTCAAGCATCGTCTGCATGTCAAAGTCTGCCAACAAATTGAATCGAATAATGTGTCAGGCACTTCCTTTAGAGGAACAATTAATCGCAGCAATTGAAAACGGCGATCTTAATCCAAGAATTGATAACAAAACTAGAAGTAAAATGCTTCAAAATCAATTCGGCTGGGATCAAACTGATTCTAAGCGCGTGTGGAGTTTCGGACCAGACACAAATGGTCCTAATTTATTAGTCGATGTTACAAAGTCAGCCGAATATTTGCAAGATATCAAAGAACACTTAGTCACTTCATTCCAATATGCAACAAAAGTTGGCGTTTTATGTGAGGAACCGTTAAGAGGCGTAAGATTTAATATAAATGAAGTTTACCTTCATTCTGACAGCTCACATCGAAATGGTGGTCAAATTGTGCCTTGTGGAAGAAGAGTTCTTTACGCATCTGAATTAACAGCTAGTCCATCTTTGGTGGAACCAGTTTATTTGTGCGAAATAACATGCCCTCTTCAAATGTGTGGAGCTGTTCATGGAGTTTTGAGTAAGAGAAGAGGAAAAGCATTTGATCAACAAACCAAAGAAGGAACACCACTAATTGTAATCAAAGCTTTCTTACCAGTTATGGAATCTTTCGGATTTGATAAAGATTTGAGAAGTTCAACATCAGGGCAAGCATCACCTCAAATGCAATTTGACCATTGGGAAATTATGCAAGGCAATCCATTTGAAGAAAATAATAAGCTGTCAGACACCATAAAGTCAGTCAGAAAAAGAAAAGGATTGGATGTTAAGATTCCACCTCTTGAAAAATATAACGACAAGCTTTAAAAATTTTTAAAAAGTGAACATTCAAGATAGAATTTCATTAAATTAATTTTTAGAAAATAATATTTTATTTTTAGCAAAATATTCATTCTTACTCATATTTTTAATAATAATATATCATATTTTTAATAATATAGAGTAAAATTACATAAATTCAAGTTTATTTACTTAAAAAAAATTAATTTAATATTGATATATTCGGTTTATTTAATTATTCTAAAGATAACATAAAATTTATTTATAAATAAATATATTTTCCCAAGAAAATATTGAGATACAGAATTATTTTCATTTGCTGATATTGTTAAATAATAAATTGATATATTAATATCACGTGGCAATTTTTCACCATCATAATAAATCTTTCCAAGGAACCAATTTGCATTTGAATTATTTTTTTCAGAAGCAAGTTCTAAATAGTGAATCGACTCAGCAATGTTTTCATGCTCAATTAAAATTTTACCATTCTTAATTGAAAATATTTTTTTTTAACGATTTTCTTAAGATTGAAAATTTTACCATTATTACTTTTAAAGATTAAAGCATAATCGTGTCCTGTTTTGAAAAGTAATAATTTCAATGAAATCAGTGAATTTATGTTGACTGTTTACTTTGCAATTATTGAAAATATTTTTTTAACAATTTTCTTGTGTTAGAATTTGACTTCTTCTGACCAAATAACTAGTTATTGCAACTTTAAATTTAATTAGCTAATCAAAAAATACAAAGAATAATTCATTAATAGTGTATTACTATTACTAGTAGTAATTTTAAGTGGTAACACTTTGTTAAATAAATAAATAAACAGAAACTAAAAAAATCATCAATTCAAAAATCCCTGTTATTGTAATTCGCCTAATAAAAAAGTGTTATTGTAATTTTTTGAAAATTATTTGCTTTATTCATTTAATCTATTTACAGAAATTTCAATCAACTTTTCTTATCGAGTT